AAATCAAAAAATCGTAAAATTGAAAAATCAAAATAAGTACAAATTTTAAAAGTCGAATAATTGAGGAATCGAAAAACTGAATAATAGAGAGACTGAATAATCCCAAGACTCAAATCGCGAAAAATTGAAAAACCTAAAAATCAGAAAATCGAAACATCGAGAAATCAAAACATCAACGAAAAATCGAAATAACATAATATGGAAAAATTAAAATTTAAAAAAAAATTAACAATCGAAAAATCGAAATATAGATAAATGCAGATATCGACAAATTGAAAAATTAAAAACAAAAAAAAACTAAAACCGCGAAGTCGAAAAATCTAAAAATCGAAAAATCCAGAAATCAAATTATCTAAAATTCAAAATACCGAAACTTAAAAACTGAAGAATCGAAACATTGAAAAATTAAAAAATGGAGAATGAAAAGATTTTTTTAATTGAAAACTTGAACCGTGGAGCAATCGAAACTCCAAAAAAATCGAATAATTTAAAATTTAAAAAATCGAAAAATGAAACAATGTATTTATAAATTGAGAAATCAAAAATTAAAATATCGGGAAATCGAGATTTCCAAAAGGTGAAAGTCGAAAAATCGAAATGGCACAAAATCGAAAAATTGGACAAATTAAAATAAAAAAATTTTGAAAAATCGGGAATTTAAACAACTGAAAAATCGAAAATCGAAATCTCAATAAATGCAGCCATCGACAAATTCAAAAATCGAAAAATCCAATGATCGAAAAATCGAATGATTAAAAAATTGAAAAAATGAAAAATCTAAAACCGCGAAGTCGAAAAATCCAAAGATCAAAAAATCGAGAAATTGTCTAAAATTTAAAAGACCGAAACTTAAAAATTGAAAAGTCAAAAAATTGAAAAGGTAAAAAATGGAAAAATGTAAGAATCGAAAAAATTGCAAGATTGAAAAATCTATAAGTCGAAAAATAGAACAGCTTAAAAAAAGAAAAATTGAAAAATCAAAAACCTGAAAAATCGAAAAATTGAAGAATTGAAAAACTGAAAAATCAAGAAATCGAGAAATCTGAAAATGAAAAAACCTGAAAAATTTAAGAATTGAAATTCTAAGAACTCGAGAAATCAAGACGTCACGCAATCGAAAAGTCGACAAATTGAGAAATGGGAAAAATAAAAAAATCCAGAAGTCGAAACGAAAAATCGAAAAATTTAAGAATTAAAATATTGAAAAATCCCAAATCTTAAATATCGAAAAACTGAAAAATCTAGAAATCGAGAATGAGAAAATCAAAAAATCCAAAGTCGAAATGTCAAAAAATCGAGAAATCGAAAAGAGGAAAAATCGAGAAATAAATCAAAAAATCAAGAAATCGAAACGAAAAATTGAAAAATCTAGGATACGAAATGTTGAAAAATTCCAAATTTGAAATATCGGAAAACTGATAAATTAATAAATCGAAAAAACAAAAAATTAAAACCCCAAAGACAAATTGAACAATCGAAAAACCGAAAGATCGAGAAATCGAAGTATTGGAAAATCGAAAAATTGAAAAATTAAAAACTTGAAAAATTCAAGAATTGAAATTCTAAGAACTCGAGAAATCGAGACCTCACGCAATCGAAAAGTAGAGAAATTGAGATATGGAAAAAATAAAAAAATCCAGAAGTCGAAAAATGAAAAAATCGAGGAATCGAAACGAAAAATCGAAAAAATTGAGAATTAAAATATTGAAAAATCCCAAATCTTAAATATCGAAAACTGAAAAATCTAGACATCGAGAAATGAGAAAATCAAAAATTCCAAAGTCGAAATGTCAAAAAATCGAGAAATCGAAAAGAGGAAAAATCGAGAAATCAAATCAAAAAATCAAGAAATCGAAACGAAAAATTGAAAAATCAAGAAATTTAAGAATCGAAATATTGAAAAAAAAAATCTAAAATATCGAAAAATTGAAAAATCGAGAAATCGAGAAATGAGAAAATCAAAAAATCCAAAAACCACAAGTCGAAATGTTAAAAAATCGAGAAATCAAATAAAAAAATCAAGAGATTGAAACGAAAAATTGAAAAATCTTAGAATCGAAATGTTGAAAAATCCCAAATCTGAAATATCGGAAAACTGATAACTCGAAAAAAATTGAAACATCGAGAAATCGAAATGTTGAAATATAGAAAATTTTAAAAATCCAAAAATTGAAAAATTAAAAACCTGAAAAATTGAGAATTGAAAAAAATTTGAAAAATCGAGAAATCGAGACGAAAAATCTACAAATTTAAGAATTGAAATATTGAAAAATCCCAAATCTTAAATATAAAAAAACTGAAATATCGAGAAATGAGAAAATCAAAAAAATCAAAAAATCGAGAAATCAAATCAAAAAATCAAGAAATTGAAACGAAAAATTGAAAAATCTTAGAATCGAAATGTTGAAAAATCCCAAATCTGAAATATCGGAAAACTGATAAACCGAAATGTCGAAAAATAGCAAATTTTAAAAATCCAAAAATTGAAAAATTAAAAACCTGAAAAATTGAAGCATTGAAAATGTAAAAAATCCCAAATCTTAAATATAAAAAACTGAAATATGTATTGAGAAATGAGAAAATCAAAAAATCAAAAAATCGAAAGTCGAAATGTCAAAAAATCTAGAAATCTAAAAAAAAGAAAATCGAGAAATCAAATAAAAAAATCAAGAAATCGAAAGGAAAAATTGAAAAAATCTCGGATTCGAAATGTTGAAAAATCTCAAATCTGAAATATCGGAAAACTGAAAAATCGAGAAATCGAGAAATGAGAAAATGAAAAAATCCAAAACCACAAGTCGAATGTCAAAAAATCGAGAAATCAAATCAAAAAAATCAAGAAACTGAAACGAAAAATTGAAAAATCTTAGAATCGAAATGTTGAAAAATCCCACATCTGAAATATCGGAAAACTGATAAATCGAAAAAAATTGAAAGATCGAGAAATCGAAATGTCGAAAAATAGAAAATTTTAAAAATCCAAAAACTGAAAAATTGAAGAATTGAAAATCTAAAAAATCGAGAAATCGAGACGAAAAATCTAAAAATTTAAGAAGCGAAATATTGAAAAATCCCAAATCTTAAATATAAAAAAACTGAAATATCGAGAAATGAGAAAATCAAAAAAATCGAGACAGACGTCAAGCAATCGAAAAATTGGGAAATGGGAAAAGTCAAAAAAATCGAGAAGTCGAAAAGAGGAAAAATCAAAAAATCAAGAAGTCGAAACGAAAAATTGAAATGTTTAAAAATCTCAACTATGAAATATCGGAAATGTGATAAATCGTTAAATCGAAAAAACACAAAAACTAAAAAATCGAAGACAAATTGAACAATCGAAAAAACGAATGATCGAGAAATCGAAGTGTCGAAAAATAGAAAATTTTAAAAATACAAAAATTGAAAAATCAAAAACCTGAAAAACTGAAGGATTGCAAATCTGAAAAATCGAGAAATCGAGACATGAAGCAACCGAAAAGTCAAGAAATTGGAAAAGTAAAAAAATCGAGAAGTCGAAAAGTGAAAAAATCGAATAATCGAAACGAAAAATCGAAAAGTTTAAGAATCGAAATGTTGAAAAATCCCAAATCTGAAATACCGAAAAACTGATCAATTGAAAAATCAGAAACCCGAAAAATTGAGTAGAAAAACTGAAAAGCCAGAAATCCAGACGTTAAGAAATTGGAAATTCGAGAAATTGGTAAATGAAAAAATCTAAAAATCGAAAATTTAAAAACGCCAAAAATTGACAAACTAAAAAACCGAAATATCGGAAAATTGAGAAATCTAAAATTAAAAAATCGAGAAATCGAGAATTTAAAAAAATTGAGAAATTGAAGAAATGCTAAAATTGAAAAATAAAGTAATCGAAAAATTGAAAATCAAGAAATAGTTGCAAAAAAGCGAGAAATCGAAAAACTGTTATATAATATTGATTAAGGATTTACAATGTTTCCTACAACGGACAGACGGATGCGGCGTACCTATTTTTCGTATTGTATGGGTAATGAAACGTCGACACAACATCAAAGTAGCCGGTCGCCTAATGGACTCGATTACAATACTTACTTAGCTTACGCTCGGATAGTGGAAATACCGATAATATTTTTATGACACGTGTTTGTGCGAAAACACTTCAAAAATTTTTACGGTTAGTAATCTTTGATAAAATTAATCATTATTTTTTCAAACATAAACAGTACAAAGTTCAGTACTTGTCTAAATTTTCCAGTGAAATTAAAACGTAACGGACTAATTAACTTCTCTCTGATTACCGCAGACTCGACCACTTCTTCACTACCTTATCGTCTTTTTAACGACGAGAAAAAACTACAATCACTCCAAGTTGTTGCGCTATTTCTGCCATTCCATTCTCCACACCGGCCGCTCTTTCACGATTCCACGAAAGTATTATTTATGGTTTTAATCTAAGGACGCGCTAATTTACGTGGGAGAGAAGCAAAATAACGCAATCGAGTCTCATAAATTGAACGTATCTAATTCTAACATCTCCCATGTCAAACAGAGGTAATTTTTTCCGTACTCGCAGACGGTCCAAACCTCAAGCACCTCCTCAGTCTGACCTTTGGGGTTTCAGCCGTCTGAGTCCTCCCCCTTTCGTTCCCACAACTCCACATCCAAGATGGCCGTCTCCCAACTTCGCCACTTCTCGACACCAACCCCGCCGTAAAACCGCCCGTTTTACATTTAGATACTTTGTGCAAGCCTGAATTGTCAAACCGTAGAAACCGTGTCGCAGTAAAATTTCAAACGATGCGGACAATTAGTTCCGGAGCGGCTCCGGGTAGTGGAGAGATCCGCAGCAGGAACGACTGCCGGAGTAATTTTCGCATCCTTTCAAAAATAAACCAAAGGAGTTGTGATTTGGGATTTTTCCTCTTCGTCTGACGGAAGAGGACGAAGTGGTGTTTCTACTGATTGTGCGTTATCATGGTTTGGGGGAGGCGCAGGGCCGTACTAAGGGGTAGAGTGGTACTTACGGGTGCGGTGGTCGGTGTTCGCGCGGCGTCGTGCGGATCGGCCGCCGTGCCCCCGTCTGCTGCCCCCTCCCCAGCCACTGGGCGATAATGGCTCAGCACGCACGTGATGAGCCCCAGCGCCACTGTCAGCACAATTGCGGAAAACACCAGCACCAAGATGCCCAAATCGCTCACTGCTGTAACAACAGACAACTTTACCATCAAGGAAAAAATTTCGTCGAAGCTTAGTTCGACAGACATAATTTTTTGCGATTTTTGACACTCCCGCAGCTTTTTTGACTTGTGTGGAGAATGGCAAACGGCCCAAATAAGGTTCAATTTAAAAATAATCAAAGAAAATCGTCAAGGTTAAGTTTTAAAAATTGTAAGGTTTAAATTTAAAATGTCACTGATTGGGGTTGAGTTTCAAAGATTTTAAGGTCTAAGTTTACAAATCTTGGGTAGTAGTTCAAAATGTCTTTAATTTTCTCCAAAATGCATGAGAATTACATTCTTTTCTACGATTTCTCAAGCTTAGAACTAAATCCAAAACCCCCCGTATTTTCTGCAACCACTTGTTGACTGGCGCCCGCTCCAAATTGAATCGGAAGCGACACCGCCTTATTTACATTTTTTTATTATTAAATCCCTCTTATTATTCCACGTCCATTGCATGCTCTTTAAGCCCCGACTCTCCCCCTTTTCCTGTCAAGTCCAACTTGTCCCGACCACCTGTTCCCGTTCGTGCGTCTCGCGTTTTTCCCCATTTCCGAAATTCCGGAAAGGCGGCTTCGAGGGCTGTTTTTGCGCACCTGCAACCCTCCGTATCGTGTTTAATTAAGGCTCTTACGGCAGTTAGTGTGAGAACGATTCGTGATTTAATTAGTTAAGGCGCAATTTCGGGAGTTATTGCTGATATATTTCGTACACACGCCTGCCGGGGGCGATGTTCTTTATGGGGGCGTAAAAGGCGAATATTAAAAAAGCTCGTTCCGCGGAATATGCTTTGAATCAAACGCGGACAAAATGGAATTTAAACGAGCGAGAAAAATCCTAATTTATTTTTTGTCTTTGACAGTTATACTCCCATCGTGAAGATATAGTCGAGGAAGAGATTTACGAGGGCGAGACGAGAAAGTTAGAAACACGGGTTAAAATGGCCGAAGGCGCTACATTTATTTAACGGAATTTTAAGGAGTGACAGCCGATTCTCTGCTCGTGGAGTTTGCAGAAAGGAGTGGAAGTTTGGAAGTTGAGGCGGTTTTTTTAAGGTAGGTACTCGAAAGTTTGGAAACGTCAGACATGACTTTGATGCTCATTGACGGATGAAGGGGTTCAAAATTTATTAAATATCCTAAGATGCTTCAAATAATATTGTTCTGAACGTTTTTAAGGTCAGAGGAATTTTGTGCGTGTGTTTTTACATAAACCATAAAAGAAGGAGTACGTGATTTTATAAAATTTAAATAACATTTACTACATGATATTATTAATACACATATATAATTTGAAAATAATCGGTCCAGTAGTTTTGGAAATTATCTGACTAATAAAGAAAAGTTGAAAGATTGTGAAAACCGAAAGTTCAAACAACGAAAAATTGAAAATCCAAAGAGTAAAAAGTTGAGAAATCCAAAAATCCAGAACGTGAAAAATTCAAAAGTCGGAATACTAAAAAATCCCAAAATTGAAAAATTGAATCGAAAAACTGAGAAAACTCACAAAATTGAACGAATATCCAAAAATTGGGAAATTAAAAAATTGTAAAATCTGGAGCATGAAAAATCGAAAAATTGAGGAACTGAAAAACTGAAAAACCGAAACCTTGGCAAGTCAAAAACGGGAAAATCAAAATATATTTTAATTGAGAAATCGGAAAACTGAAAATTCAGAAACGTCAAAACTTGACAATTTAAAAAATTGGAAAATTGAAAAATCGGATAATTCAAAAATTGAAAAGCCGAAAAGTAAAAAAACGAAAAACCGATAAATCGAAACATCGAAAAATTCAAAATTGAGACAATCAAAACATGGAAACATCCGAATCTCGATAAATCGAGTTCTCAAGAAATTGAAAAATCGAAAAATAAAAATTCGGACAAAAGAAAAATTGAAATATACAACAACTGAAAACTAGAAAAATTCAGAAATCGAAATATATATAAAACAGTCGAAAATTGAAAAATCTAAAGTTTAAAAAACGAAAAACTGAAAATCCAAAAAATAAAAAATCGAAAAGTCGAAAAATAGAAATATTGAAAAATCCCAAAACTGAAACAAATATCCAAAATTGAGAAATTAAAAAATTAGTCAACGAAAAAAAAACAAAAATCGAAGAATTGAAGAACTGAAAAATCGAAAAAAAATGCGAATTCGAGAAACGGGAAAATCAAAAAAATATATTAATTGAAAAATCGGAAAAGTGAAAATTTAGCAACGTCAAAATTTGAAAATTTGGAAAATAGAAATACTGAAGAACTGGAAAATCAAAAAATCCAGAAATCGAAAAATCTAAAATCTAAAACATTGAACAATTGAAATATCGCAAAATTGAAAAATGGAGAAATCCAAACATCAAAGAATCAAAAAAAAAAAAAATTCGAAAATTGAAAACTTAAAAATCGACAAATCGAAACTCCAGAATTTAAAAAAGTTGAAAAATCGGATTACTGAAAAATCGAAACATCGAAAAATTGGAAATTGAACAATGAAAACATCCAAACATCTGAATTCAATAAATCGAGAAATTAAAAAATTGAAAAATTTTAAAAACGAAAAGTTAAAACATCGAAAAATTGAGAAATCGAAGTATAAAACTGTCCAAAATTTGAAAAATCTAAAGTTTAACGAAAAATTGAAAATCCATAAAGTAAAAAAGGTGTGGAAACCCAAAAACGGCAAACTGAAAAATTTTAAAAATTGAATAAACGAAAAATTGGAAAATCGAAAGAAACAACAAAAATTAAGGAAACGAAAAAACAAAAAACTGAAAACTGAAAAATTAAAAATCAGGAAAATGCAAAATAAAAACTGAGGGGACCAAAAATTGAAAAACGCAAAAATTGTAAAATTTGGATGTCGACAAATTGTAAAATTGAAAAATCAAAAATAAAAAAACGAAAAAGTGCATAATAAAAACTTGAAAAATGTAAAAAGTGAAAATCAAACTTGAAAATTTTAAGAAAAATTGAAAAAAACCTGAAAATTTGAAAAATTGGATAAACAAAAAATTTTAAAATCGAAAGAAACAACAAAAAATAAAGGAAATGAAAAACGAAAAATTGTGAAAAAAATCGAAAAAGTGAAAATTAAAAAATCGGGAAGATGAAAAATATAAATCGGAAACAAAAAATTTAAAAAGGGAAAAATTAAAAATTGAGAAACTGAAAAATCGAAAAATGAAAAACTGTAATATTGAAAAACTGCCAAATGGAAAAACTGATCCAAACCGAAAAATTGAAAATTTTGGAAGTCTAATCAAAAAAAAAAAAACGAAAAATTACGAAATGAAAACTTGAAAAATCTTAAAAATCGAAAAAGTGAAAAATAAAAAAAAATATGTAATATGACATAGAAATAATGAAAATTAAAGAAATCGGAAGACTGGAAATCCAAAAATTCCAAAGTGAAATATTTTAAAATTGAAAAGTGCACCAACTGAAAATTCAAAGCCTGAAAATTTGAAAAATTGAACAAATGAAAAATTGTAAAATCGAAAAAAAAAACACAGAAAATAAAGGAAATGAATAAACGGACAATTGTGATATAAATCGAGAAAATAAAAACTAAAAATTCGCCACATTGAAAAATAAAAATCGGAAACATGAAAAATTGTGGAAACGAAAAATTGAGAAACGGAAAATTCGAAAAATTGAAAAATCGAAAGAAACAACAAGAAATAAAGGAATTGAAAAAATGAAAATTTGTGACATAAAATCGGGAAAATGAAATATGAAAATCGAGAACTTAAAAAATTGAGGAAACGAAAAATTGAAAATGACAAAAATTAAAAACTGAAAACTTGAAAAATCGAAAAATGAGAAACCGTAATATCGAAAAATTGAAAAATTAACAAATTACAACTCGAAAAATTGAAAAATTTAGATGTCAAGAAATTGTAAAATTGAAAAATCAAAAATAAAAAAACGAAAAAGTATATGATGAAAACTTGAAAAATGTCAAAAGTGAAAATCAAACATGAAAATTTGAAGAAACGAAAATTTGAAAAATCGAAAGATTAAAAATTGAAAAACTTAAAATTCGAAAAAGTGAAAAAAAAATGTATTATGACATAGAAATAATGATAATTAAAGAAATCGGAAGACTGGAAATCCAAAAACTGCAAAGTGAAATATTTTAAAATTGAAAAATGGACCAACTGAACATTCAAAGCCTGAAAATTTGAAAAATCGAACAAATGAAAAATTGTAAAATCGAAAAAAAAACAGAAAATAAAAAAAATAAAAAAACGGACAATTGTGATATAAATCAAGAAAATAAAAACTAAAAATTCGCCACATTGAAAAATAAAAATCGGAAACATGAAAAATTGTGGAAACCAAAAATTTAGAAACTGAAAATTCGAAAAATTGAAAAATCGAAAGAAACAACAAGAAATAAAGGAATTGAAAAAATGAAAATTTGTGACATAAAATCGGGAAAATGAAAAATAAAAATCGAGAACCTAAAAAATTGAGGAAACGAAAAATTGAAAATGACAAAAATTAAAAACTGAGAATGTGAAAAATCGAAAAATGAGAAACCGTAATATCGAAAAATTGCAAAATTAACAAATTGCAACTCGAAAAATTGAAAAATCAAAATTAAAAAAACGAAAAAGTATATGATGAAAACTTGAAAAATGTCAAAAGTGAAAATCAAACATGAAAATCTGAAGAAACAAAAATTTGAAAAATCGAAAGATCAAAAATTGAAAAACTTAAAATTCGAAAAAGTGAAAAATAAAAAAAAAAAAGAAATATGTATTGTAAAATCAAAATATTGAAAATTAAAGAAATTGAAAAATTACAAGACTGGAAATCCAAAAACTGCAAATTGAAAAATTTTAAACGTGGAAAATCATGGAATTAAAAGATGAAAGCCTGAAAATTTGAAAAATTGAATAAATAAAAAAATTGTAACTCGAAAGAAACAACAAAAAAATAAAGAAACCAAAAATTGTGAAGGAAAATCGAGA